CTGCTGACAATCCTGGTGAGGTACATCATGAAATTGGACATTTCGATCCATGATGATGATTCTTTTCAATGAGGTCAACATCCCGTCGTTTGCACATTTGATGAAAGATTCGGCTCGTCCGAGAGTGTCACAAAATATCACTTCAAGATCACAGTTGTTGATTATCTCACTGCAATTTCATCCGAGCAATTTGGTTGCCAGCAGTGCCTCACTTCAGTGTCAGCAACCTCATGATGAAACAACGATCATGAGTACAGCTGAATCACCTACCATAACGCATCGAATTTGTAGTTGTAGTAGAGTGGAACCGCAACAATCGAATAGCTCAGTAGAGCATATTGAGTGATCATGTAACGTGATGAATTCAGACCCGCTATCCCGACCCGAGTCGATTCACCTGCTTCAATACCGAAGTGCAGCAACGCTGATCCCATTGATTTCGCATCTTCAATTGCCTAAATTAATAAACAGATTTAACTGATCGTCATTATCACACAGCACTCTGAGGGAGTCTCTTAAATACACGTCAGATATAATTCATCGCGTATCGCGTTGTTTTTATTCCTCTTCACTTATTAGCACATCAATATCCACCATTTCATTTATAAAAGCCTCGTTAATAACATTATGATTAATCACATTATTTCTTTGCACTGATCTCAATTTCATTCTAAGCAAATCTTTCGCAGTCATCATAAATTTCTTTAGCATTCATATCGTTGGTGAGTTTCTGAAACGGTTCCTTCTCACTGAATTCACCTGTTTATAGCTGATCCATTCAATACTACCGTCTGCCGCTCGTTCACCTATGAATTTGCCATTGTTCGTCAATTTCACGGCTCTTTGAAGTAAATCGAAAATTGTTGTCACATCTTCGTCGGGTGGCGTCTCTAGTAGATCTTAAAAATAACGAAGTTGAATTATTTGAGCATTCAGGATCGTGTAATTGGGATTTTCAAGGTTAAAACGATAATATCTTCGATTATGTCATACACCTATACCTGAAAATGCGTCAAGTTTTGTCTACACTGTACGAACTGTTCATTACGATTCCAACTTATTATCGTTGATCTTCAGTGGAAACGATACGCTAACATTATCACTGACTCAGTTGCAAACGATACTAAAACTGACCGTTTGGCTTGACCAAGAGGGACTGATGGATGCGCTCAGAACCAGGCAGAGTTAATGAGTGAGGATTGAGTTTTTCATGTTTGCGGTCTGATCGCCGTTGACCAAAAGACATCAACCAATCCATCAATGATGATGACTGCTCGTGTGTTTAGACCGTTAAGTGAATTCCAATCCTGATCAGCTGGGGTTGAAGCAGCCAAAAAACACGCGATTTATTGACAAGCAAGCAAGTAAACGAAGCAATATAGATTATTATTCTTTTAAAATTGTTCGAAAAATTTCCTGAACGCAGAACATAAATCAATTCAAAGCGAATCAAAAAATGTTCAGTTGAATTTCTGCAAAATATTTCAACACTGAAGTTGTTGATTCAGAAGATCCGTGTGTGCCGTACCAATATCAACAATAAATATGAGAATAACCGTACAACGAATGCACTAATAATTCCAGTGTCCTACATTCTCAGATGATTGTGCTCGATGATGGACGACTAGTTAATCGCTCAAATTCAATCGTTCGCGTGAAAATTTGTTGAATAACTGTAAACGTTTGCACGCAATCCCGCAGATGACACACAAATGTGTGCATCGGTATTTCATTGAAAT